ATCCTCCCTGGACCCCTTTGTTTTTAAGGGCTGTTTCCCTTAAAAAAATCAATGCCTATTTCAGAATTCCCCAAATCTGCATCCTAAATAGGCCACAGGCTGCCCTTCCTAATTCCAGTGTGGAAGTTTTGTTGCTGCTCCTCCTTCTTTTACAGATCATTGAAAACTTGATAATTTCATGGTCCCTGTGCCCCAGGCAGCCTCTGACACCCACATCTGATTTTCATATCTATTCAAACTGCATGAGGAGGTGCTTGGATTCAGTGCCAATTGGAGATTGCACATATCAGTGAATTAACAGGGGAAAAAAACCTAAATAGGACCTAGGAAATCTTTTTTAACTGTCTTGCTACATATAATATACTTCATTTGAAGTGAATTTACACTTCTGAATTCTACTTAACCAGAAAAGATTTGAAAACTTAGATCAAATTGTTTCCAGAGGCTTGGTTTGTTAATGTGTTCTGAATGTTAATAAGCCCTGGGCCACTGAATTCCTGAACTGGAGAGCTGAAGGCTGAAGAAGCCTCTGGAGCAGTAAAATTCAGCAGCAGCCTCCAAGTTGCTGAGGATGTCAGCAGCCCCCACTGAGGCCATCCCTGCCCAGAGACCCTGGGGGAATGGGCAGACAAGGAGAGCGTCCCTGGGGCTGGGGCAGCAGAACTCAGAGGCACCAGCGGCTCCAGCTGGGAAATGGAGTGTGGGATGGGGCTGTGAAAGCCCTGCCTGGGCTGTGCCAAGCAGGACACAAAGGCCCTGACCCCCATCCCCCAGACAACTCTCTCAAGGAGACATTTAAAAGGACTGACAATTGTTTGTGTCCTCTGAGCTGGACTCCCTGGAGAAATACCAACAAGAGATTCTCAGGAACTCAAAACAACACAACAGCTTTTGCTGGGAACTTTAGGAAATCAGAGAAACTTTGGCAAAAGATTTAATTTGATATTCAATCTACAGAAAACACTTCTCAAAGCATTACCTTGGCCCATTGAACTTCACAAACACTACACCTGTTCAATTTTAAGTTAATCAAAATTTGCAAGAGGACAGAAATAGAAGAAGTAGACACAGAAGGAAAGGAAAAATAAGACTTAGGGAAGCACACACAGAGCTACTAACTCCTGGATTCCAGTGGGGTTCAGATAGAAATTCCAAGAGGAGGTAGAGCCAAGATGTGTGCTTGCCTTGTGGTCAGCCTTAAATACCCCTTGATCTTCCTGGGCCCTTCCCCCAGCTGGAACTTGGGGCCTTTTGGTCACTCAGGAGCTGGGCTGGGGCTCCAGAGGTGGCTGTGGAGCATTGCCTGTGCTGTGCCAGGAACTGGCAGACACTGCTGGGCTGGGATAGAGGCTCTGGGGGGATTGGGGTTCCCGGGCAGGGCAGTGCTGGGGTTCTGGGGCAGGGAAAGGCTGGACCTGCCCCTTCCTCCCCCGCACATGAAATGTTTCCAGCAAACAATCTCCTCCAGTGTGTCACAACAGGCAATGTTGGAGGTAAAACCCCAATTTTTCCCATGGGCACCTGCAGGAGAAGGACAGTTCTTTTCCATTGGAAGGAAAGCACAGATCCCCAGTGTTTGGAAGGCAGATGAGAGCCTCACTAGGCCAAGGCCAGCAACGCTTGTCAGGAATGGCAGATTTTGTCTGGAAGCAACCTTTGGATATAGGGAATTTTGGAGACAGAATCCAAATTTTGCCCATGGGCACCTGGAGAAGCAGTTCTTTCCCAAAAGAAGGAAAGCATGGAGCCTTCCCCAGTGTTTTGAGGACAGATGGGAGTTGACCCTGATGAAACCATTGCCAAGCAGATTTGTCCTGCCAATATTCCTACAGGAACAATCGCTGGATACAAGAAAATTTGGAGGTAAAATCCCAATACTGTCCATGGGTTTCTGGAGGAGGAGGGAAGTTATTTTCCATAGGAAGGAAAGAACAGCGCGCCAGTGTTTCAGTAGAAGGTGAGAAGAGACCCTAAACATGTCAAGGTCAGCTGGGCCAGTCAGGCAGTCCATGGGAGGCCAAACCAGCCAGACATGTTCCGTGTTCCTTTGGTTCCATGGGGCCCCACAGTGTCACAATTGCTCCTTGATTACAAGAGCACATACAGTGCCACAATGGACCCTTAGATCGATGGGGTCCCACAGTGTCACAATAGCTCCTGGGTTCCATGAGGCCCTTTAGTTTCACAATGGTCCCAAAGGTTCCATGAGGCCCTGCAGTGTCTCAGTGATCTCCGTGGTTCCCCAGGCCTCACAATGACAAGTGACTCCTCTGTTCCATGAGCCTTGTAGGGTCACAATGGACCTTTGGAGCCTGCTGGTTTGCAGTGTCACAGTGGTCTCCTTTGGCTCCACAGTGTCACAATGGACGACTGATGACACGAGGCCCTGCAATGTCACAATGGACCTTTGGTCCCATGCAGCCCTGCAGTGTCACAAAGGCCTCTTGGTTTCATGAGGCCCCACAGTGTCACAACGGTCCTCTTGGTTCTGTGGGGACCCCCAGGGTCACAGTGGTCTCACTGGTTCCATGAGGCCTCACAGTGTCACAATGATTTACTTATTCCATGGGGCCTCATAGTGTCCCAATGGTCTCCATGATCCCATGAGTCCCCTCAGGGTCACAATGGTCTCCTTGCTTCCATGGTGCCCCACAGTGTCACAATGGTCCCTTGGTCTCACAGGGCCCCACAGTGTCACAATGGTCCCTTGGTTCCATGGTTCCTGTGCTGGTGCATTCCCCCCTCCCCTTCTCAGGCCGCCCTGCCAGATGAGAAATGCTCGCTGGGCCTCAGCCTTGGCCAGCAGCCCCTGGGCTCAGCTCCTCTGGAGCTCATCACAAACACGCTCTGCTCCATGCACTGCTGCTGCCCAACCATCTCCTGGGTGCTTCAGGAGCAGCCCTGGGAACTGTTTGTGTTCCCTCAGTGGCACAACATCCCTGTTCTCACCCTGCCAAAGAAAGCTGCTGATGCCAAGTGCGGCCAGGGTGAAACATGGCTGGGACTGAAGCCCCTCTCTTGGGGCCCTACAAACAGCGCTCCAAAAGGAGACCTTGGAGCTCTCCTGGGCAGCGACTCCCTCTGAGTGGGGCCTCTCTGAGCCGGGAACTCTCCCGTTTGCTGCACTCGGGGGATCCCGAAAAACGAGGGAGCTTGGGCCGATCCCCCCACTCCTCCAGGCTCAACCCTTCCCCACTGGGAAGATGCCAAAGCATTCACAGGGAGCATTTCCCTGCCCTCAGGGGAATTTGTCACAGGTGCCCTGCACTGACTCTCTGAGTCTGTGTGCACACAGGAGTGCCTGTGCTGGGGAAATGTGGCAGAAATGCTGCTCTCGGAGGGCTCTGAGTACCTTGGGTAGCTGAGCCAGTCAGGCCTGTAAGTAAGGTTAAATCAAATGGTCTAAGTGCCACTGTAGTCCCCTTGATTCCATGAGGCCCTGCCATGCTCTAATGGCCCCTTGGTTCAGGGCGTTCCAAAGTGTCAGAACAGTCTCCATTGTTCCATGAGGCCCCACAAAGTCACTGTGGTCCCCTTGGTTCCACAGGGCCCCACAGTGTAACAATGGACTCTTGGCTCCATGAGGTGCCACGCTGTGTCCCAATGGCTCATGGTTCCATGAGGCCGTACAGTTTAACAATGGTCCCTTGGGTCCATGAGGCCTTGCTGTGTCACAATGGACTTGGGGTTCCATGAGCTTTCCTACTGCCATAAACAGTCTCCCTGGTTCCACAGTGTCACCATGGTCCATTTGTTCCATGAGATTCCATAGCAGAACCTTGGTTCCATGGCCACCTTGGTTTTGTGTGACCTTGCAGTGTCACAATGGACCTGTGGTTCCACGAGGCCTTGCTGTGTCACAATGGCCCCTTGGTTCCAAGAGGTTTCTCAGGGTCACAATGATCTCCTTGGATCCGTGGTATCAGAAATCACAAAGGCAAATGCATATTGCCAACGGTTGAAACACAGCAGACAGGGAAGATGTGAAAAGTGAGTTTGTAAAGGCCTTTTAATTCACAGCTCCCACTGAGAGCTTTGGGGCGCACAGATGGACAGAGATGGTTCTGCTCACCCCTCTGTCCAAAGCAGGGGTAACACACACTGCTGCAGGTGCTTGGGTTGGTCTCTGCAGGTCCAGGTGGATGCCAAACCTGCTCTTCACAGCCTTCTCCCTTCCCCTGCCCCTCTGCCAAGTGCAGCAGGCCTCAAAGACTGAAAGGAGCACAGAGAGCCAAAGGGGGACACTTGCACCTGCCTCACTGGGAGCTCCCAGGGAAGCACTTTCCTTGAGAAGCAAGCCCCTGTCCTCCAAAGGCATTTCCCCAAATGTGCGGCTTTTCTGCTCAACACCAACACACCCTTAAGAAACGCTGGCAAGGCTGAAGGACTTCATGTCCTCTCAGGACAGGCACTCCAGCTCTAGCTCCTATTTCCCCAAGTGCCTTTCCAGGTGGAGGCTCAGACGTGCATCCCTAGGCCCTCTACAAACACAAGCTGCTCACTGCCTCTTCACCTGCCTCAACTCCTGCCTGCGCCCACGGCACCAAGACCAGGCTGTTCCCAGCCAGAGCCCAGAGCCCTGCTCTCGCAGGACGCTCTTGCCAGCACCTTCCAGGCCTCTCTGCTGTGCACACAGCGCTTTTCATGCCCGCTCCCAACAGGCTCTGGAAGGCAGAGCACAGCCTGGCTGCCTCTGCCACCAGCACAGCCCAAACACAGGCGGAGGAAGAAGCAGCAGGGGCTGTTTTGCGGCCATGCCTAAGAGAGACTGGAAGGGTGCCCTCCCTCTGCTCTCACTTGCTTGGCTTTCTGACTGGCTCTGAGCCTGGGGCTGCCATTCCTCACTTGTGGGCACCAGAACCACAGCCGGGATCCCGGCACTGCCTGACAGCACTCCGGGCACTGGCAGGGTCGCGCGTCCCAGTCTTGGGCACCGCGCTGCTGCTTCCTTTGCCCTCAGGCACACCCAAAGCTCCCTGCTAAGCACAGATGGTCGCTGGTTCTGCCCTGTCCCTGATCCTGTGCAGGGATGGAGCACTGCTGAGCTTTCTGGAAGCTATTCCTGAAAACTTCCAGCATTCCAAGCTCCTTTGCCCTCCGTGGAAGCTTGCCATGGAATCCCTCACAGCTGCCTTCAGAGCATACTCAGCTTGGCTCTTCCAAATTCCAGGGGCTCCAGGCTGCTCAGCAAGATCTGCAACCCCACAGGGTTGTGGAACTGCACCTTCAGCACAGGCACCTCTCCAGCCTGATCTGCCCTCGTTCCTCTGTGTGTGTGCACAGAACACGGCGTGGAAGAGAACAGCAGCAGGGGCCTGTGTGTCCCAGGGCCCGGGATTTGCGCCGCTTCAGCTCCACAGAGATGCAGGTAAGGGGGAGAAATCAAACTGTTTATTAATGGAAGGGAAAGGGAAGCGATGAGATAGGGGCCAAAAAAAGGGAATGGGCAGTATTTGAGGGCTGGAGCGGGGGAGCTGTCAACAGGGAGGGGGAAGGCAGCAGCTATGGGAGCTTGCAGCAGGCACAGCTGTGGCCAGCATCAGGTGTGCCCGGAGCTCCAGTGACATTGAGTCCTGCTGCTCTCTTCACTGTCTCCTGGTACTCTGCTTGGGACCCTGGTTCTCTGAATCCAGCAGATGACCTTAGTTCTGCACATCTTTGTCCAAAAACTGCCTGAATTTCCAGGTTAGTGGAGGATGGGCTGTCATCTTCGCTCATGGCTTGAAGGGCTGGAAGACAGATAAACAACCACAGTGAGAGACCAGGGGCTGTGTGACATCACAGAGATCTGTGTAACATCACAGGGGCTGTGTGACATCACGGGTCCTGAGTGACATCACAAAGAGCTTTGTGACATCACAGATCCTGTTTGACATCACAGATCCTGTGTGACATCACAGAAACATCCATGTGACATCACAGAGTGCTGTGTGACATCACAGGGGCTATGTGACATCACAGAGATGTCCGTGTGACATCACAGAGGGCCGTGTGACATCACAGGGGCTATGTGACATCACAGAGCTGTCTGTGTGACATCACAGAGGGCTGTGTGACATCACAGAGGTCTCAGTGTGACATCACAGAGATGTCAGTGTGACATCACAGAGAGCTCTGTGAAATCACAAAAAGCTGTGTGACCTCATAGGGTCAGTGTGACATCACACTGATGTCTGAGTGACATCACAGAGATGTCAGTGTGACACAACAAAGAGCTGTGTGACATCACAGATGTGTCCGTGTGACATCACAAAAAGCTGTGTGACCTCACAGGCTCAGTATGACTTCACAGAGATGTCGGTGTGACATCACAGAGAGCTGTGTTACATCACAGAGATGTCCGTGTGACATCACAGAGATGTCCATGTGACATCACAGAGAGCTGTGTTACATCACAGAGATAACAGTGTGACATCACAGAGGGCTGTATGATCTTGCACCTTCTGGAAGATGGAGTATTGCCCACTCTGTATTGCCCGGAGCACATGCAATGTTTGAAGTGCCAGCTCTGACATGGCACTACTGACATCCTCTGTCAGGCATTCAAGGGCTGCAAGAGAGAGGAACAGAGCCACGGTCAGATCCCGACTCTGCGGGGAGCCGAGGGGAGCCCGCCCTGCCAGGGCCATCCCAGCCGGCTCTTGCCATGGCCGGGAGGGATCAGGGACCAAGGGGATCAGCCCAAAGCTGCTGGCCACGCATCCCCCACGTGTCCCTGAAATCTCTATGTGCTCTACCTAGGAGAGCAGAGCTCTCCGCAGCCGGGGCAGGGCTTGCAGCTCGCCCCGGCAGCCCCCGCTGGCAGCCTGCTGCCCTGTCTCACCATTGCAGATCAGCTGGAGCTTTTCCTGCTGTCCCCTCAAGCTCCTCCCGGCCATCCCTGGGAACACAGAGCCTGTCAGGCCCAGCGGCACAGCTCCCTGCCAGCGGCGCTGCCAGCCCTGTGCCCACAGGCCCTCCTGGCCCGGCTCGTGGCTCACCCATGAACCTGATGGCGCCTCTCGCAGGGGCTCCTGTGGGCTCTGCAGGTAGGGCAGGGCCCGGCGCAGGTGCTCGGCCACGCTGCTGCTGTCCTCTGCCAGCTGCAGAGAGCGGCAGGAGGGAAGGGTTGGCCCCGCAGCCCCGCCGGGCCGGGGCTCCATCGGCACCCGGCTCGGGCCGCAGGAGCCTGGAGCAGAGCCCACGCGGCCTCGGGCTGCAGCAGCGGGCAGGGGCACAGCTGCCAGCCCGCACACCGAGCACCGCGCTCAGGGGGCTTCTCCAGGCTGGGGCTGCGGCTTCCCGGCCCTCCTTACCTGGCACTCGGAGAATTTCCACAGCTCCTGGTTCTTCACCAGCTTTTCAAGATCCCTCCTCTTCACTAACTCGGCCGCACAAAGCAGCATTTCCTGAGAAGCCTGGAAAGCAGCAGAGACGTGGAGATGGCCCCACAGCCCAGGGCACAGGACCCCGTCCCTGTGCCAAGGCCAGGAGGAGGCTGCAGCCTGCGAGGTGCCAGGGCAGGAGGCAGCCCAGCCCCTGCCAGGGGAACAGCAGCAGCTGCCGAGTCCTCACCTCTGCCACTCGCTGGTTCTCATCATGGCAGTGGAAGGAGAGTGGCAGCAGGCTCTGGCGCACGTGTGCCTTCAGAGCCTCTTTTTGTTTTTCCTGTGGAAAAGTCATCCATGTTCAGAAGAGCAGTATGGAGAGCAGCTGCACTTGGCTATTGTTCTGTATGAAGGGAAGAAAAAGAGACCTCAGCATTGGCTGCATGGGGCTCAGCTTTGTGCAGACCTGCAAATCCACAGGTCATAAAGTGTCTGGGCAGGAGCCAGTGGCCGTGGCTGGGGGCAGTGAGCCTTACGTGGTCAAGGAGTGGCAGGAGCGCCTCAACCAGCTGCAGTGTGATGGGGCTGGCTGTCAGCATGTCCTTGTCCAAGATGATAAAGTTGAGGAGCAGGACTGTCATGCTAACTATCTCTCCATCCGCATCCCACAGGAGCTCCACAAGACTTTCAGTCAGGCTCCACATTTTTTCTCTCTGTGAGGAACACAAGTTTGTGAAATGCCATCCTGCTGCTGCAGGGCCTAGAGGCCAAAGGGCTGTGCCAAAGCACTTGGGCAGCTGAAGCGGGAGGCAGGAGAGCTGGGAGCAGCTGGCCCAGCGCCCAAAGCCCAGCCAAGCCCAAGCGACTGCATTCCCAAGCGCAGCCTCTGCCCCTGCCCCCTTCTCACCATCGAGGGATCCTTGATGAGCTCGAGAAGGGCCCTGAGCACCAGGTGACCCCTCTCCTTGCACTCGCTCCTCAGGTGCCTTGACAAGATTTGCAGGACTCTGTCAGCACCGCATTCACTCAGGTTCAGGAACTCGAGGACCTGAAAGGCACAGGGCAGTGACAGGGGACCGGCCGGCGGGAGCCCAGAACCGCACAGGGCTGGGCCCAGGCAGCAGCACAGGGCGCGGGCACCGTCCCAGGCACTGCGGCCAAGAGAGGGCAGAGAGCCGGGAGGCAGCTCAGCGAGGCAGCGCTGGCCAACAGGCTCACCTCCACAAGGAACGCCAGGGAGGGCAGCTCCCAGCGTGGCTCCTGTGTGCTGAGCAGCCGGAGCAGGTAGCGAGCGATCCGGGAGCACAAGGGGATGGAGACACAGGACATCTCCCTGGCAGGAGACAAAGTAACCAAGACTGTGGGCCAGGGGGACAAACCTCTCCCAGGACTGACTCACAGAGGTCTGGTCTTTCCCCAGCATCCTGCAAGGGCCCCTGGGCTATTTGGGAGGTGGCTCCTTGTGGGCACACTCCTCTCCCAGCCTTTTTCAGTCTGTTTGGCTGTCCTTCGGTGACAAGCCTTCTGGCCCATGACCACAGGGACTGTGTGGGGCACCCCAGGCACAGAGCACAAATATCAGAGGCAGCAGTGTGAAGGGGGTCTCACCTGGCCAGCAGACCCACAGCACAGTGGTGGGTGTCAGCACACAGCAGCGTGTCCCAGCCACACTTGCGTTCCATTGCCACCACCACATCCTCGTGCTGCATTTGGCAGAGCAGGGACTTCAGGGTCCGCACTGCAGACCTGTGCGCAGAGCAAAGCCCAGGTCACGTTGGGAGCACTGGCTGCTGCCCAGGGATTTGGCAAGGACAGGAGGACTGGGATGGAGCACTTGTTGGGGCTGGTGGTAAGGCCGTATTGCTGCTGGCATCCCTCCCAGAAGGCATCGACCTCCTCTGGCATATCCAGAGTGCTGAAGAACACTTGGAAGAGGAGATGGACAAACGGGCAGGGGAAATACACGGTCACCATCTGTGGGACACAGGGCAGCTGGAGGATCTTCCACATCACCGCAGTTGCCTGCAAAGGACAAAGCCCCTCGAGACAGCGCTCAGTGCCGAGGTGTCCGTGTGGCAGGGCCCAAGCACAGTAGGGAGAGGTCCGGAGAGACGCAGGGGGAGCACCGGGTCTGGTGGCCCTGAAGCTGTCCCGAGGCCAGGTTTCAGCCCAGCACCTGAGGCAGGGAGACGCTGTGGGGGAGGGAGGATGGAGAGCTGCTGGAGGGGTGGCCTTGGGGCCAGCAAAGGCAGAAACTCACAGCCAGGGCAAGGACAGCCGTGTGGTCCCCATCGGAGGTGCACGTGCTGTGCTCTGGCCAGCTCCCCAGCACATCGAGGAGTACGAGCATGGCTGGCTCTGCAGTCCTGGGCGAGCACATGATGCTCTTCCACATGGCCAAAGCAGCTCTGTGGGGTCAGAGCTCTGTCTCAGAGGGGTCTGGGACACAGCAGCGTGGCCTGGGTGGCAGCGGGGAGCTGAGCTGCTCTGCCAGCCCTGCCTCTGCCCACTGCCCCTCACTGGCAGCACGCAGGCAGCCCAGCCCTGTGGGGACTGCCCCCTGAGGGGCAGGAGGGAAGCATGGCAGCACGCTGGGGGGCTGGCAGGGGCCAGGGCTGGCAAAGGGAGCAGCCAGCGGGCCCTGGAATTCTCTGTTTGTCAGACACCTGGGACAGGCTGTACAGGGTGAAGGGCTGCTGAGCCTTGTGGACACGTGGGCCCTGTACCTGTCACACACTGGGGCCACACGCAGGAGAGCCATCTGCCTTAGCGCTCTCTCTTGTCCCCCTTTTCGTCCCAGCTAGCTCTGTGAGGGGGGGGGGAGCGCTGGCAACTTCCGTGTTTTCCGGCGAACCCTCGCGGGTAACTGCCGGTGCTGCGTGGGTCGGGGAGCTAGGCGAGTCCCGAGGCGAATAAAAGGAGAGAGACCTTTTCCCCCGCGGGCGATATCTCGGTTTATTATGGCTTGGTTGGGAAGGAAAAAACCGAGAAGCTGCTGCGTGCTGAGTTCGAGTTTGTCCGTGCCGCCTGGCCGATTCAGGGGTGGGGCGGCGCGCTCCGGCGCTGGCCGCGATCCAAGAGAGGCGGCGTGTGGAGCCGCGGCGCTGCTGCCGGCACGTGCGGGAGCCGCGGCGACCGCGGCAGCGGCGGCGGTTCGGCTGAGGCAGTCAGGGGCCGGGCGAGAGAGCAAGCCGTGGCGGCACGCAGGGATCCGGCGGGAGAAGAGGCGGCGGGCCGGGCAGCAGCAGCGAACAGGGGCCAGGCAGGAGAAAAAGCACCGGGGCGTCCCCAAACCCGTTCTATAAATACTCGAGAGGGGAAACCCGGGGCGGCCAATGAGATAACGCCACGGGGGGACTTGGGGATAGTGGGGTGCAGGGGTCCAATGGGAGATGGACAGATGGAAGGGTGCCTGGTCGTCTCTCGACCCCGCCGCGTGGCTGACAGATGGTCTGAGAGACGCAAACACAATGACTCGGCACTTCCTCGGGAAGGCAGACCGCGGGGGGAAATGGGAGAACCCGGGAGGTCACTTACAGAGTGCGGGGGGGATACATGGAATGACCTTACACATAATAGAACATATAATAACACAATTCCACAGCCATCACCACGTCACAGGGCTGTGCCTCTGTCAGATCCAGAAGGGGCCTGTACAGATTGTACTCAGGAAACTCATTGGCCACAAGGATGTACCTCATCATGGCAGGCAGCTGGAGAAGGCAGAGGAGACTTGGAAAGCTGCCAGAGGAAGGAATGTGTCCAGCTGCCCCAGAGAAGTGCTTCCCTTGCCACCACACTGCCATGGCCTCAAAGGCTTCCAGGGAGCCGCAGGCATGGCTTCGGAGGCCAAGCAATTGCTGGGAGGATCAAACCCAGGCCACAGGCTGCTTACTTGCTTTGGGGTGGAAGGACCCTCCTGCACAAGCATATCCAGCAGGGCAGCACTTGGTCTTGGGCTCTGACCACAGTGCCCATGATGATGCTCTCTTCCTCCCGAGTCCTCTTCATGAATTTGCAAACATCTGTAGCAGAAGGGCAAGAAGCCCGGGATGTTGCATGGAGTGCTCCGAGCACAGTGCTGGGCTGAGCAGTGCCAGCAGGCCCAGCCCAGGTGGGGATGGCTGCAGGTACCTGCGCTGTTCTGCGGAAGCGGCCACGGGTGCGTTCCTGCTCTCGTGTGCGCTGCACGGCTGCACCTGGCAAAGAGCGAGCGCAGCCCGAGCTGAGGGGCTGCGGGAGAGGCCGGAGAACACAGCCCAGCCCTGCGCTGCCCAGGCAGGGACAGCCCCGCGACGCCCCAGGGCATGGAGCATGGCTGTGGGGTGTCTGCCCAGCCCCTATTCCATCCTGTCCATGGTCATGGCCCCAGGGGATGGGATGGGATGGGATGGGATGGGATGGGATGGGATGGGATGGGATGGGATGGGATGGGATGGGATGGGATGGGATGGGATGGGATGGGATGGGATGGGATGGGATGGGATGGGGCCAAGCTGGCTGCAGGCACCAGCCCTGTGGCCCAGCTCTGCCACTCACCCCTCTGCGGTGGCTGGAACTGCTCCACCTCTTCAGGCTGCTGTGCTGGGGAAGCTCCAGGGCCCAGGTCACCTGCAGGAGTAATACCTCGGGAAAGCTCTGGGTCAGCAAGGAACATGTGCGCTGTGTTAGGGCTCCTCACAGAACCGTTCTCTCTGTCCTGTATCGTCGCGTGCACCGAGCACTGTGGAGTGGCCTTGTCACTGCCAACACCTTTGCCACAGTGTGTCACAAAGGGCCCTTGGATACCCTGTCCCGTTCCATTCCACGGTGACCATGCTGCATCGTGTCACAAAGGGCCCTTGGATACCCTGTCCCGTTCCATTCCACGGTGACCATGCTGCACCGTGTCACAAAGGGCCCTTGGATACCCTGTCCCGTTCCATTCCACGGTGACCATGCTGCACCGTGTCACAAAGGGCCCTTGGATACCCTGTCCTGTTCCATTCCACGGTGACCATGCTGCACCATGTCACAAAGGGCCCTTGCACGCACTGCCACCTGCCCTGGGGCCACCCCCAGCCGCCCAAAGTGGCCCAGGTTGGAAGGAATACCTTGCCCCAAGTGTGTCAGACAGCCCAACAGGATCTTTAGGAACGGCTCAGACCATCAGCAAACGCTGCCCTGCTCTGTGGGCTCAGAGCAGCAGGAGCCCCCAGGGCTGCCGACGCAGCCGCGGTGGGAAGGGCACGGGGCCCTGCACAGAAGCTGGCACGGCCTCCTCGGGACACATCCCACATGGTGGCCATCCTAAGCACGGCCGTGTGACACAGACCAGGAATGTGTGGGCCAGGGCAGGAATGCTGCTCTGACCCTGGGGCCTGGGGAGCGCTGACATCAGCCGCTGAGGCACAGTCCCCACCGAAGCAGAGTTCCCCCGAGCCCTGGCAGCACCGGTGCCCGTCTGCTGCCCCAGAAACCTGTGCCCCAAAAGGGCTTCTCTGCCAGAGGGCAGCCAAAGCTGGTGTGTGTTGAAGCATTTTTCAGAGAAAGAGGACATGAGTTATGAGATTTGAGCTACTCCAGTCTAGGCCTCAGGTTTGGGCCTTGTGAGGCCTTCAAGCCTCTGACGCAGTTAGAAATTCAGAGCTTGGGGCGCAGATAGAAATAGTATTAAGGTGTGACAGGGACCACTGGGCTGTCTGGGTGTGAATTAGTATACATTTATAGTGTAAGGCTCAAGCCACTTTAAGGAAAAGGTAAACAATGTTAGCCTACCAATCAGAGTGCCTTTGTTTCTGTAAACTATGTAGAAGCTTATATAAACTACCATCTTATCTCAAATAAACTGAGAACATTTGATTAACCACATTGGTTCATATCAGTGTTTGTCTTGTCCAGTTTCCCGTTTTCCTGAGATTCCCTGGCTTTTGGTGTGCATTGGGGGCTGTGTTGCGTCCTACAGGGGCTGTTGGTAGCAGCACCTGGAGCAACTGGTGGCAACACTTGGTGCGTGTCAGATGTTGTTTCTCCTTCCCGGAATGATTCTTTCATGGAAGGGATTAGCAGCAGCACAGAAACACCAACAGCTACTCAACTTCACAGGACAAAGAGAATCCACCGAAACACTGTCATGTTTCCTTGTGCTTTTGTGTCTTTCTTGCACTCTGAAAGAAAAAGAATTGGCCCAAGCCCTGCTATTCAAATCTCCAGCTGCTGTGTGTCTTCCTGTGGCAGCTCACGTGTAAGCACAACTGGCTGCCTGCTCAGCTCGGCACTGGACGGCCACAAACAGGGAGGGCCCTGGTGAACATCTCTTTGGTCTGGTGGGGCAGCGAGGGCACAGGAGACAAAGACTGCTCCTCCCGAGTTCATGGGGCAACAGAGAGATTTTATTTCCCACGCCCCCCCTTACACAGGGCATTTGAAAGACCAGGTCTGGAAGCTCTCATTGGTTTGAGCTCCACGCCCCTTCAGGTTCTGGCCCGTGAGGTGCCTGCAGTTTTGGGAGATATTTGATTGGTCAAGAGCCCTGTCAATCATGGTAACATCTCACCTTTCTTTATAAAATTCTGTGTATTGTTCTCTGTCACCCATCTGCAAGGGCCCTTTGCAAACATGGTGACAGAGGACAGCGTGCATCTAATTTACACTGGAGCTGCAGCATTCCCCTCCAGGAACTGTTAGGGGAGAACTCAGGCCACAGGCATAATGCTTCTCGGTTACAAATTGAACTTATCTCTAAAAGCAGAAAGCTATTTAACCCTGAGCCCATTTAACCGTCAGAGAAAAATCCAATTTTAAAAAACAACCTTTAAGCACTTGATCCCTTGGAGAAAAACTGAACTCCCAGAAAACAGTGTGTAAACAGAAAAACTGTTTGTAAACATGAGAAATAATTTGTAAACAAATCAAGTCCTTCTATGAACTGTCCATGAGGCAGGTGATCATTTGTAATGCTGTCTGTGGTTTCCAGTGTCCATACTTTAGGATGCTGTATTGTACTGTTGTAGGATTTATTGTAAAACATGAGAACAGACTCAGAGGGCAGGAGGGTGTACCCTCAATCCAACCCCTTTCCCCTTTTTACTTTGTATAATAAATAATAATAGGAACAGAACATGGATTTTGAATACTATTAACTTATGCAAAGTTAACTTATATCTTGAAGCAATGCAAGAATAATTGCTAGAATATTAGGAAAATACTTGTTAATACACATACTAGGACTTCTTTACGATAATGATTTGCTAAAATATGAATATCGATCCAATATTGATATCCAACCGAGACGGACAAAAACTGTCTAAGAGTTTAAAGTTAGAAAGTGTATGTTTATTGAGACAGCCGGGCAGTACCTGGGATAATTCCCTAATGCACACTGCAAAAATCACAGGTGTTACTAAGCTTTTTTATTGACAGAAGTCTTGAATACACAAAATATGAATGCATATTCATATCCCTGTCACTTCCTCTGCTCCGCTTCATATGCTAATTGGCAGAAAGGCTATTAAGCATGTGTAGTTCTGTTCCCTGAAATGAGTCAGGGGTCCATTTTGGGGAGGGGTCTCCAAAATGAAGAAGTAAAATAAGTCTTCCTCATTCTGACCTTTCTGCCTTTCCCATGCACACGTGACAAATGAATCCTTGCCGTTTTCCTGTGCTTAATGGATTCCTAAAGTAGGGGAAGTCTGCAACTGTTTTTGTGTCCCTGAAATCTGTTTGTCACTTTCTGTTTCTCATGATAAGCACAGCTACCCAAACATAAAGCTGACAAGCAATGAGTTAATAGATCCTGGATATCTTATCTAAGATCCAGCTACTGTTAACTATGAACAAAGCCCATTTATCTACTTCCGCTAAGTCAGCAACATCTAATTTAACTATCATCTTAACTTCCTAAAATTCTTAATTCTTCCAAATTAATGTCTCACCGGGAATGGGGACAGGGAATGGGAATGGGGACAGGGAATGGGGAATGGGAATGGAGACAGGGACTGGGAGTGGTGACAGAGACAGGGAATGGGGACAGGGGCAGGGAATACGGTACAGGGATCGAGAATGGGGTCCGGATTGGGATGGGAGCAGGATGGGAACGGGATAGGGGGGACATGGGAACAGGCAGGGGCAAGGGGAGTATGGAAGGGGAGTAAGGAATGGGGCAGCCACTGCAGGGGGACGAGGCATTGGGATGGGGACACATGGGGACAGTTCCAGGGCAGGGGGTCCTTGACCAGCTGCCCAGAACCTCCACCAGGGTCTCCCAGTGCAACTGCAGCCGCTCAGCCTGGGGTGCCCAAAACCCTGAGCAACTCCCAGGTCCCTCCCAGGAACCCTCAAGTCCCTCAAACCCAGCATCCCCCACATCCCCTGCAAGAACCACCCCCATGTCCCCATCCTTGTCTTAGCTCAACATCTTTATTTTTACCTGCTTTTAGAGTTTTGAAAGAGCAAAGAGAAATGAAAAGAAAATCCAGGCCAGGGGGGCCAGGAGGATGTGGAGCCCCCAGCCAGGTGTCCTTCCCATCATGGATCAGCAGCACCACGGGTCACCGGGGGTCTGCCCACCGGGGCTCACTGGGGATCATCCAGCACGGATCCTCCCGTGGGGGATGGAGCTGGAGCAGCGCATGGAGCTCTTCCCACACTGGGGCACTCGCAGGGCCGCCCTTCGTGGTGCCTCTGCTGGTTTTGGGTCAAGGCTGAGCTGTGTGATGAGCTCTTCCCACACCTGGGACACTCGTAGGGCGTGGGACATCACCAGGAACAGGGCTGGGATGTGCCCTGGTGCCTGGGACATCACCAGGAGCGGGGCTGGGATGTGCCCTGGTACCTGGGACATCACCAGGAGCGGGGCTGGGATGTGCCCTGGTGCCTGGGACATCACCAGGAGCGGGGCTGGGATGTGCTCTGATGCCTGGGACATGACAAGGGGCGGTGCTGGCTGGGGTTTGTTTGGTGCCTGTGAAATCCCAAGGGCAGTGTCACAGCGGGGCAGCTCTCAGTGTCCCCCGCAGGTCACAGTGTCCAGTGCAGCCCGTGCCAGAGGTCACTGCGCACACGGGGCAGGCTGGGCTGGAAAGGGGACAGGGCAGAAACGCTGCCCCGGGACTGGGGTCTCCCCCTGCCTCTGGGGCCCAGCCCCTGCTGGGAGTACCTTGGGCAGGGCACGGGGCTGCTGCTGGGCCAGGGGGACAGGCTGTGCCCCCTGTCCCCTGCTGCTGGGCCAGGGGGACAGGCCGTGCCCCCTGTCCCCTGCTGCTGGGCCAGGGGGACAGGCTTTGCCCCCTGA